AGGAATGGAAGCCAAGGAAGGATAAACACAAAATGGGGTAGAGTACTTGCGGGGCAGAGAGGGAGGAATCATAAGTCAGGAAAGGAGCAGAATCTGCAAAGAGGAAAACCGGGGAGGGGGGAGAGCAGCAAACCACAAGAGGGAACAGTGCAAAACTGAAGGGGGAAAAGGGAGGCAGCAAACTCCAAAAGGGAAACATGAAATGGGGAGGAAGTGAACAATGGAGATGGGGCATGGAGGGGGCATTTGAGTAGGCTGTACTGAGTGACACCCTCCCCCATCCATTATATACTTACTTGATTTTATCAGCTTGTTACAAGCCACGTTTAAGAGTCTTTCTGCATCACGGTCCCAGAAGTGTAGCAAGTAAAAGTATGGATGGAGTACACTACAGAATCATTCTTACGTAATTACAAGGAAGATGCTAGCATCAGCTGGGAAAGATGCATACACATCTATCTTAGTCCTCTACTCTTAGGACGCTCTTGTACCATTCCCGGGATATCCACCGTTCCCACTCCTGAAATACTCTTCCCATTTAAAAAAAACTAAACATCTTGGGTTTCTCCTTCCACTCATTTCACTATGACCAAGAAGGGCTCCTATGGCAAAGAGGCAGCACATGCTAATTGCATTGTTCTAGATAAGTTTTTATACCATACTCATCTCCCTAGTATTCAAGTGTTGCCTTAGCACCAGCTTTTGCAACTCACACACCTGCTGGGTGTGGTGTACTGGTCTATCTAGTAGCACCAAGACCACTTAAAGAGAGAAAGAGCCAGCTAGCTGTGAGCCAGCCAGCTTTTAGCTCAGGCACTAAGCGCTAGAGCAGGGGGTGCCAAACCCATTAAATGAAGACTGCCAAAACAGCCGCACCAAAATTGTGGAAGGGGGGGGGGGGGGAAATTTTTTTGGTCGCTTGAGGCCCCTGGCAGCCACCACCATCTTGCCGGCGCCGGATGGCTCTCTTGTACCCAGCGAGCACAGGAGGCTGGGCCTGGGAGCCGATTGTAGGGGCGCATGGGGCAGCTTCATGAGCCGCACTTTTAGGAGTGAAGAGCGAGCCGTGGGGTAGCCACTCCTGCTTTAAAGGACCCAGATTTGATTCTGCCTGTTGGCGTGCCACTTTCTTAGAGTGTCTACTTAACTGTAGGCTATTGGTATATTTTTTTACCTTACTCCAAGACTGCTTCAGTGAAAAAGTAAACAACCTGTTTTACTAATTAATTTTCATGCTTGAAGATTACTTTCATAACCAAGGACTCTCTATATTGTCAATCATGTTATGTGACTTAAAAAACCCAAGGTGTCTGCCGCCCCCCATTAGTGCACTCTCAAGTCAATTATTAAAATCATAATATAACATATGCATGTGATTTAAGGCCAGATGGGAGATCAATAAGACAAGACAGAAGCCTACACCTGCTTCTTAAGGAGCATAGGTGGTGTGTTGGAAAGAATGCCACTGGAAACCAGGATCTGTGACCAGATAGAGAATTGAGGCAGAAGGAGCTGATGGAAGGAAGCTTATTTTGGAGTTCACAGGATGGACCTGAGACAGATGTTTAGTCAACTATATAGTACCTTAACCATTCCACTGCTGCAGTTAAATATTACAAGGAGGATTTCTGCAATTTTTGAAATCTGAGGTTGACCAGCTAATCTAAATGGACAATTTTATTTTAAGCCCAAATACTAAAAACCTAATTTTTGTTATATCTTTATCATCTTCTAACAAATAAGTTGAACTGTAAAAACACCACGCTTTACAAGATTTCCAAACCAGAAAGGAGACAAAAACTATACACCAAACATTGTTATTATTTTGATGCATTATATTGAAAGTCTATTTATTCTTTATCCATTGCAACAAAATTTACAGATGTACAGCTCTCTTAGCAGCAAGACTTTCATGAGGTGCATTGCATGAGTGAATGCCTGCAGGCTTGTTCTCCTTAACATGACAGACATGATAAATCACATTGATTTAGAACTATCAAGTAAAAACTCCATGATTCATTTAAGATTGCCTAACAAGTCAAACCAAATTGGCACCAACTTAAAAAAATATATATACAGTGTGTCTAGGCACTAATACTTTACGTGTAAACAACCTGATAACAGATTTCTGTATAATTTAGTTATAAACAGGTCAGCCTAGATGCTATCAAGATACCAGTTTACCTAAATGCCAAGTCATAGCCTGTCCCCTTTGAATGAATTTGAACAAGGGACAAAAGCAATCGGTAAAGCAAAAGTAATTATGTGAAAGCTAGACATTTATATTTAACATGCCTCTGGCTTAACAACAAAGTGGTATTGTTGGGTGATATTACGTCAGAGGATGTAGGCTAAATTCTCAACTCAGTCACAGAGGTGCAGAAGATCAGCAGCAACATGGAAGTGAGCTGCCTCAGCCAAGCGATAATGAATTACATCGTACTGGCCAGCTAAATTTACAAACTGTGCTGCCATCCTATTAACCCTGTCCAGTCTTCTTCGCATGAAAGCTGTTTTCATAAAGTAAGGTTTAAAAGTGGGTGGATGAAAGGTCAGATATCCAGGGAAACTGAAGGTCTTCAGGAGCACTGAGTACTCCCTTCCACTGGGCACAGGAGACAAGCCCTACGTGGCTGCAAAGACTCAGCTGAGTGATAACTTCAATATTTTTAAAATGTTTTCCCTTAATAAAAATTAATTTTATACTGTACATAAATTGAACAAAAGGTGAAGGGATGTCAATTAGATTGATTCTAGCAAGTGTTCAGCATGACTAAATGTTTCACAAACTCTGCTGTAATGGATGCTACTTAACTGCCTATAATGGAACTATTGATTAAACAATTCATGCTTAATTTGTAATGTATGTGTAACTATATTTGAGGCCATAATCATCTGATACAATAATCCTTTTATTGCATTTGGTTGGATAAAAGTAGTTGAGGATATTGAAAAGTCTTAACATTTTATATCTAATGGTTATAGACTACCTATATGGTTTTGTAAAAACTGCATTCCTTTCTGCTTTTCTTGCTTTAGTTTCACTTAAGTTCTGTAAAATCATTTAAATTATGCATACAAATGTATTTCTAAGCAGATGCCTCATAGATTAGTTAAAATAAAACTGTTATTTCTTAGTTACTACATATACTATATACTAATAGCCCATATAGATAGGGGAATGATGTCTAAGGACTGAGATACTGACATCTAGTGGATAAATTATCAGGCAAGACATTTACAAATGCTCAATACGGGTAAAACTTGACTAAGAATAATTTTAAAAAGTTGCCAAAGGTTTATTTAGAACATGTCTACTCTGGAACTTATTACAGGAAATTTCTGGATTCAGACAAAAAGATTTTCACCCCCACTTTTTACCAACATGCACAATTTAAATTCATACAAGTGGAAGAAAGAACGGAGGTAATATTTCCCTTGTCAACATGATGTTTATGGAGAGAGGGATTATTATTGGAGGTAGTCTTCACATATTAGAAGTCAAGTACCTATTAAAAAGTCAAAATATTAAGAGGGTTTTTTTTAAATACTATGAGTCTTACAGATCTTCATGATTGATAAAGCAAAATGGTACAAGAAATTATGAAATGTTTACATTATTGATATATAATATACTCTAAATATTAAGCAATCAATAAATTACATAGCTCAGGTTAGTTAATGCCCTATCATCTTTAAAGATCTTATGCCAATTCAGCTCTAACTAAAGTTGTAAGTAATTAACAGCTTTTACTTTCACAAACTTTTACTACGATGACACACTCAGAAGGATGAGGTAGTGTTTACAAGAGCCCTGTATGTTAATGTAATATGTTGAATACTTTCCAATGAAACATCTCTCATATGCACTTTTTGTGCTTATGGATAGGAAGACAGTCTAAACAAAGATCAAATTAATTGCTTGCATTAAACCACAGCTATCATTTGCAGAAATGTACAGATCACAAGAAAAGAGAGATGATTCACCAAATTCAGACTTGGTATAAACAGATGCAACTCCACTGAAGCCAATGGTATTGAACCCACTTATATCACAAGAAGAGATTAGTCATCTTGTGGAGTTACTATGATTTTCTGAGACATACATCCATATGGGGGTGCTCCATTTCATGTGCTCATGCTCTTCTCAAGTCCCAGATAAGACAATTTCCATTTTCAGAGACTGCTTGGTCTATAGATTTGTCTTAATGTATCCTTGCCCTTCACACTGAGGCTATATAGGGTTGTGTGAATGAACCTCCCTCAGTTCCTTTTCCATCTAAGCGTTCCAGAGAGCACAGTCCAAAGTAGAGGGGAGGAAGGGCAGGGTGAGGAGCACACACAGTGACACTCATCTGAAAGGAAAACAGTTACTGCATAGGGTGAATACCCTCTTCTTCTTTGCATAGCATCCCTAGGGAGAGTGCACTTCCTGTGGGGATATTACTTGGAAGTCACCTGGAGCAGGGAGCTTCAGAACTGAAGAAAGGACCACAATACCAAGTGCTGCATCTGAATCAAAAAGGCATAGATAAGGCTTAGTGTTGTATGTACTGAATGTATGTACTGAAATTACTGGAATGTTTTTGAGTAATACCCTAATACCCTAGGGCTACGTCTAGACTGGCATGATTTTCGTTTAGACTGGCATGATTTTCTGCAAATGCTTTTAACGGAAAAGTTTTCCGTTAAAAGCATTTGAAGAAAAGAGCATCTAGATTGGCACGGACGCTTTTCCGCAAAAGCACTTTTTGCGGAAAGCGTCCGTGCCAATCTAGATGCTCTTTTCTTCAAATGCTTTTAACGGAAAACTTTTCCGTTAAAAGCATTTGCAGAAAATCATGCCAGTCTAAACGAAAATCATGCCAGTCTAGACGTAGCCCTAGGGTATTAGGGTATTACTCAAAAACATTCCAGTAATTTCAGTACATACATTCAGTACATACAACACTAAGCCTTATCTATGCCTTTTTGATTCAGATGCAGCACTTGGTAGTTTTTCCACAAAAGCAGCTGCTTTTGTGGAAAAACGTGCCAGTCTAGACACAGCCTAGATGTTCCTTGTAGAATGGTAGAATGTTCTGTCACCTGTAGGGAAGAGAGGTCTAAGCACCAGGTGCACCATGACAAGTGACAATACACCAAGAGATCCATCTTGAATCTCTTGGTAGAAGTTATGGACCCCCTGGATCTGTCTATAATGTAAATGAACAGTGGAGGTGACTTCTGAAATTGCTTGGTCCTATCTAGTTAAAAGGGCATTGGCATCTTAACTTCCCATGTATGAGACAGATGTGGTTTTGGAAAAAGCCAGAAGATTACTGGACTGATTCAGATGAAATTCTGATAGTACCTTAGGTAAGAATGTAAGGTGTGGGTGTGCAGAAATATTATCCCTGAATAACTCCATAAAATGGGAAGGAAGGTCTGCCATCAAGGCCCCATTTCTCTGTTGATACAGGCTGACAAAGCAGCTACCAAACATGGATGAGTGAAGCCATGAACAGACTGTCCTTGGTTTGAATGGAGGTCTTGTGAGACATCTAAATATGAAGTTCAAGTTCCCAGTTGGAGTGGGACCTCTCACTTGAAGAGAGCTTCCCAAAAACCTTAATACATCTAAATACTCAGGGTGAACAAAGAGAGAAAATCCTTCTACCAGAGGCTTAAAAGTTGACTTTGCAGCCAAATGAACCTTAAATCGAGCTAGCCAATAAACTAGATTTCTTTATGTCCAATAGCTAGTCCAGATAGCTGAAAGGAACAAGAATTCTTACACTCATCAGTGGCATTGAAACCAATGGTGGACTTTTCTCCACTTCTGCAGGTTAATAATTTGGATTGACTCCATTCTATTATTCAGTGACACGTGTACTTCCATAGAACAGGTAGATCCTAATCATATGAATAATTGAGGAATTATGCCCAGAGATAGAGGATTCTCAGGTTGGGGTGAATAGATTACCCAAAGCTGGGGAGAGGAGATGAGGAATGATAAATGTAATTGCTGCCTTGATGCACAGCTGAAGCAGATAAGAATACCAAGTTTGCCTCAGACTGGTCAGTACTATAAGGATAATGTTGACATGGTCATGTCTGACCCTGTTCAGCAGTCTCTTCACCATGTTAGAGGAAATGTACAGACTAGCCTCTTCATGCAAGACAGGAGAAAGGTGTCTCCCAGAGACCGATAGCTTACTTCCTCTTGAGCAAAACAGAAAATACTTCTTATTCCTGGTGGTAGCGAAGAGGTCCATGCCTGGTAATCCCTAGTTCTGGAATAAGTGGTGGAAATTTTGGTGAAACACCTGCTGAGGGCATCTGCTATGGTGTTCTGAACTCCAGAGAAGTAAATGGCTGAAATTTGGATCCAATAGGCACACCAATTCCACAGCTTTGTGTTAGTGCAAAAGGAGGGGGTCTTGCTCTCCCCATTTTTTATTGACACAGAACACGCAAGCCACACTGTCTGTCATGACCCAGCTGCACTTCCCCAGATGACTGGTAAGAAATGAAGATAAGCATTCCTGACTGCTATGAAGTCCAATCAGTTGATGTGGAGATGGATTTCCCTCTGCCCTAGAATTGTGAGGGCACTGAAGTGAGTTCCCCATTCCAATAGAGATACACCTGTTATCACAATTATTGTTGGAATTGGGCAAATTAAATCAGTACCTATACCAATGCTGAACGGATCTTTTCATCCGTATATGGAATTTTTTACATGAAAAGGAACCCTGATCTGCTCTGGTTGGTGAATAGATTGTTTTGAGCCAGCCTTGGGAGCACCAGAGCTGAAATCTTGCAAGACTCTGTCTTCACGACGAAGCTGCCATATGACCTAGGAGCTGTAGACAGTTTCTTACTGAGGATTGAAGTCTCTCTTTAACGGTCCTGATTAGAGGTGATAAAGTTAAGAATCTCTCCATGGAAAGGTATGCCAGAGCGGTCATTGCATTCAAATACATCCCTATGAACTATACTCTCTGCACAGGGATCAGTATGGATTTTCCAATTCCGAACTTTAATTCCTGGAAAAGAAAAAGGGATGTCTGAGCAGATGATAGTACTGCTTTGTAAGCCTGACCTTTAAGCAGCCAGTCATCAAGGTAGACTAAAACAATCTATGACTAAGATAAGCGATTACTACAGGTTGTACCTCCCTTAACCAGGATTCCCTAGTCAAGCAACATCTGTGGTCCGGCATGGACCACGGATGTTCCTGGACCACAGAGCCCAGGAAGAGGGAGGTCTGGTGGAAGGGGGGGGCAAGAGTACCGTAAGGGTCACTGGCGACTCAGTCAGGAGCCCAGAGTGTGTGTGTGGAGCGTGTGGGAGGACAGTTGGCATGGTGGGGAGTTCTGGCCCCCATGGCCGGTGAGCTCTATCCTGGCCGTGGTCCTCTGGCCCCGGCCAAGGAGCTTCAGCGGCCAGGGAACTCCAGCCCCAGAGACAGCCAGGGAACTCTGGCCCGGGCTGCAGAGCTCTGATTCCAGCTGCGGAGCCAGGCAGCTGCACAACTCTGCCCTAGCTGCTCAGCTCTGGCTGTGGTGCTCCGGCCCCGGCAGCAGCGGGGCCGGGAAGAACCTGGGGGGCTGAGGCAACAGCAGGGGCCCTAGCCTGGTGACAGCACAGCCACAAGGGGAGATACCTTCCCTGGTCCGGCAAATCCCCTTGTTCAGGACCAGTCAGGTCCCGATGGTGCAGGACCAGCGAGGTTCAACCTGTATTGCTACGACCTTTAGGAACACCATTAGAATAAAGGAAAGGCCAAAGGGAAGTACTTTGTATTGAAAATGTTCCTCTCCTATAGTGTAAAACAGATAATTTTTGTTAAATAGGTGTACTGCTGTATGCAAGCTGGTTTTCAGCTGTGAACCTACAAGATACCTATCTCCTGCCTCTGGTATAAGGATTATTGCTGCCAGAGTCACCATCCTGAACTTTTGAAACTTTCCAAATACTCTGAGTGGTCTTAAATCCAGAAACTGATCTCCACCCTTCTTTGGCACAAGAAAATACCTCAAACAGAACCCTCTTCCCTTATGAGGAGCTGGGACTGGCTCTACTGCTCCCGATTGAAGGATACAGTCTATTTCTTATCTTAGTAAAGGCTTGGGAGGAGTCCTTGATGAGAGAATGAAAAGTGGGCAGTGTAGCCTGTTATGATCTTTAGGATCCACTTGTGATCTGCCTCCAAGCATACTGGAAATGGGAAAAGTAGTCTTCAAAAGGGAGGGGGGTGGCGCAAAGGATTGTATACTGCTGACCCTGAGGTTTGGGACATTCAAGCCCCTAACCATCTTGTCAAAATTGTTATTTCAATGACGACTTGAAACTTGTGCAAGGAGAAGGAGCAGCCTTCTTTCTCTGCAACTTATGTCTCTTCCTGGGGGTTTGGTGGATATGTGAAATCCAGAGAACTGAGATGGACAAGATCTCTGGACTCTCTTTCTATATATCCAAAGATTTTAAAATGGCTAGATACTCATCTGTGGTTTCTGCAAACAGCTTTCAGTCATTAAAGTGGAAGTGTTCAAGTGCTCTGAACCTCTCTTGGAAACCTTGGGAGTTGGAGCGATAACACCTTGTGCATAACTACCATCACAGAAATGGACCTGGCAGTGGTGTATGTGGCATCCAGGAGTGCTTGAAAGACCAGGAAGAAGTTAGACTTCTGGGAGCTATGTGAGTTTCCCAAGCAGTAGTTTTAGGGTAACCGCCACTGAGAAATGTCTGAATCCTATAGAGCTAGATGTATCATGTCAGGAGAGAAACGCTCCCTAGGGGGAGGGAGAGGCACAAAATTAATCCTCACACTACCAATCTACTGACAGTTATCGAATACTAACACTAAACTATAAACAAGAAGCTAGCCGAGGCACTCTCAAATCTGTGCAACCCCATATAATCTCAGTATGAGGAATAAAGATGTAAAGCATGCATGCACAGGCCAAACAAACATGGCTAACAGAAAATCTCTGAGCAAGGGTTTAAGGTGCATTCACATCTGAAGTGGAGCACTAACAGGGATCCTATTCAAAGAACTATTACTTGTTTTATAAAGCATTTAGACGAAGATGCAAGAATCTTAATAATGTAGAGAAATAAATCAATTCCCTGCCAAAAGTTTTCAAGGGAGGTTAAGATATACTGTATGTACCGTGGTTATATGTCGCCCCCCCCCCCCTTCCATTTCAGGGTTGAGATCAGATCAGAAACTGCATGCACAGAATATGGCCTTTAAATGGAACCTACCTGTTTTAAGGCAAATTGAAGACTATTAAAATTCTCAAATCCCAACAATTCATTATTTACACAAAAGTAAATGGAAAATGGAAAGTTGAAGAAAAACTAAATTATGTTTATCTATCAAACATGAATTATAAAAATGCATCTTTGGTTGTTTAAGGGTCTAAGTAAAAAAAGAAAGACTAATCAATCAACATTGTAAATAATGATATTCAAACCATCCTTGGACTCAAAACAAAGCACAGCTGTCCTTGTTCAACAATGCTATTGATAACCAACATAACCAAACGTACTTCACGTGAACACAGCGATGAAAAAATTAATCTTACAAGGGGAAAAAAACAGACATGGTCAATCTGTACATTACTGAGATCTTAAAATATAATTCTAGAATCCTGGCACCAAGAAAAAAGTGTTTTGTTACAAATTTATATTAGGGCACAGTTACACAGAGCTCACTTGTATAAAAATACAACATACTACATACGTTTTATTTAGGGATTTAATTTATATACCACAAATACTGCTTTTAATATAAGTACAATATAATACAGTTTTAATTATGTAACTGCTGGTGTTCATCTTGGATCATGAACTGAATGGCATGCCGTGCTGTCAAAACTTTAAAATGGCCTCTAGTTAAACTTCTCCAAAGTATAAAATCATGCAAAATCTACATCCTATATGATACAACCAGTACAATAATTGAAGCCAAAATCCTACGAACAGCTTGGGCTATCTTGAGTTTCTTCTTGCAGTGTTGAGTCAGCCACCATTTTCTTTAGGCAGAAGGAGCAATTTCAAGTTTTGTCAGTGGCATCTTGCCACGACTACTGAAACCAGTGAGTGTGCACAGTTATTGGCGAAAGGTCTTCATTACCTGATAGAGTTCAGACTGCAAGCTTAGTCCATTTAGAAGTGTCCATGGTTAAGAAGTTTTACGCTTTATTCCTGTGACTACCGGTCGTGCATATTCCACAAAATCATCTATGAGAACAGGCCATGCTCCTAAAGAGAAGTTAAACAATGTAAAAAAATAATAGCTTTAAAAACTTAAACCTATTTAGTCTTTAAACACATGGCATATCAACTTCGCAGCATGACCTAGATCTTAGTCACTGGACTGGATATAACATAGTAAGCAATTTTTCACAAAGAAATTTTGCCTAACTAATGAAATAAAATATTAAATCATGCTCTCTCTGAGCTATATCTTTTATAGCAAAAACGATTTGCATGTTGTATCAATTCATATTATGAGAGGTTTACAATAAATTTGAGTTGAAAGCAAGATTATGGTACTCCAATTAGAGGCATGGGAACTATCTACATCCATAAAGGTACTCAATATGTTTGCAGATTTGAGGCCACAGCATACATTTTAGTGAGAATACAAAAATACAGAAAGATATTTGTCTCCTTTTATATGTTTTTACTGGAAGAGATAAAATTTGTAGTTTTTATTATTAGACGTTTACATTGATTATGAACTAATGGATATTCTCAAATTTAATTTTTATTTCCAGACTTCTATAAACTTAAAAGGCTTAAAATATGTTTTTCTAAGTTTAGCAGTCTTAATGTAAAGCTAAAAAAAAGTGTATGAGAATACATAATATTATTGTGGTTCTTGTAACATAAAGGTGAGAGATAGCAGGTACTGTACCAATGCAGAGACTGCTAACTGTCATCTGTATATTAAAGCAAGGTCCAATTCAGACTCCTTACAGACGGTGTTCTGTACAGTAAATATGATCAAGTATATCCGTAGCTTTAATCTTAACAGACTGTTTAAAACGTTAGGTATAAGTTGTATTTTCATGTTTATTCACAGCAGTATGTTAATTTTGCTTAAATCCAATGTTTAAAATTCATATTCATTACCTTCTTCATCATAGTTGGACATATCATCTGCAATCATATTTCCAAAATCTAACAAAAGATTCCAAGTATCTTTTGGGATTGATCTTTTATGGTGTTCCTATGATAATATGAAACAAATTATGTTTAAGATATGTTCAAATGTTGCTAAATTTTAAATTCAAATTTTACTAACAAAAAAATCTTACAGTCATATATTAACACATCCTGCACAATGCTCTTTACGGATGTTGAAAGCTAAGAAAACTACAGAATAAAATATTCTAAAAATGGTAATTATATAAAGCATATTTAATAGTAATGATTTATTTCTCCTGCTCTATTATTATTATTACCATCACTATTATTAAGTTTAAGAACAGTGACTGTTAGAATCAAGTACTCAGATAAGAAATCAATCAGCCGTCCAGATACCTACTCCCCATGTACAGTTCTGGTAGTTTCAACTTGTTGATAGCTTCTGTACGATCAGGGTATGTCTAGACTGCATCCCTCTGTTGGCAGAGGGATGCAGATTAGGCAGGTTGACATTGCAAATGGAGCAGGAATTTAAAAATCCTGTGCCTGATTTGCATAAAAATGGCCACCGCGTTTTGCCAATTCAGCACTTTGTCAGCAAAAAGCGGCAATTTAGAGGGGGATCTGTGGAGAAAGTAAGCCTTTTTCGACAGATCCTGTAAGCCTCCTTGCAGGAGGCATAAGGGATCTGTCAAAAAAGGCTTTCTTTTTTGACAGATTCCCCCTCTAGACTGCCACTTTTTGCTGACAAAGTGTGGAGTTGGCAACACGCGGTGGCCATTTTTATGCAAATCAGACACCCTCAGACTGCATTTCTTAACTGCCCTTCCCAGATTTGAAAGCTGCAAGATCAGCTCTTCTGGTCAGCTCGGGGAAATGGTCACCAAATATAATGAGGAATCAAAAACAAGTGTGAGTGTGGGGGGAGGGATCCTCCACAGACAGAGGATACAGATTGAGGCAGGCATAAAGTTGCTGGAGAGAGGACAGGAGATTGTGAATGAAAACAGTCAATGGCAAAGAGACAAAATCCTGTCACAGGTGAATAGCAGGCTAGATACACTACCTAAAAACTTAGGGCTGGTCCTATAAGGAAACCAAGTGAAACCTCTGCTGCTTCCATATTTACGTGATGAATCCCTATTAGATCATAAGCATTTCTGGTGCCTCAATTTTTACTAGAGTTGCAACAGATAAATTCCTATAAAATTACATTTTAAAAAACAAGAGATGACTGTTCTTCGTATTTTGCATTGGCATGCAGATCAAGGCACATTAAGATTTAAGAACATATGACTCAGAAGTACATTAACTCTTCTGGATTATAAAATAACAGAATATTAGATTAAAACACAACCTGTGGACCCAACTGGCCTGACCCTGCTACATGTGCAGGGGAGAAGGCTGCCCAGGAAGGAGAGCAGCACTTTACTTCAGATGTGAAGAAAGCCTGGTCGCAGCCCAGATGGCTAGCTTGCCACCGAGACAAGTCCCTGCTAGAAAGGATGACCAGATCTTGAAGGATCAGTTGAAGCAAATGGCGTCTGAAGCTAAACCTGAGATAGAAGGGAAGAGTCCCACCAAATAATTGTAAGACAACCCTGTTTAGAGCTGTGATTTTCTATTCTTTATTCAACTCAAGTGTGCCTTGGGCAGAAGGCCTACGCACCATGACCTTAGACCTTGCAAGAAACAGTTAAGTAATGAGGGGGGTGCCACAGAGGTAACCTGGTCACAATCTGATACACACAGAAAATTACATTAAAAGATCATCATCAAGGCTACATGGTCAAGCACTACAAAAAGTTAAGCAGTGCCAGAATTAAGATTGCCTGTGCAATCTAATTCAGCCCCCTTGTACATATGCAGTCTTGAATTGATGATCACAGATTAATTTTTCCATGGGATCTTTGCCTCATTCAGTGTACAGAATGGACTGTGCTTAATGAGTAGAGATCAGAAAGGGAGGACTCCATGATTCAGAGAAGCTATGAGCGAAATGTTGGAACTGTCCCCAAGCAAACTAGATGAAAATAAAAATATGTAAAATGCAACTCAAGTTTCCTAACCATGAAAATATTAAGAGGTTTGATGACAGCCAATATAGTCAGTGCATAGGAGGACATGCACAAAGTAAAATACACCTGGGGCTCGTCTACACTGTCCCCTTTTCCGGAAGGGGCATGTTAATTTCAGCCATCGTAGTAGGGAAATGCGCGGGGGATTTAAATATCCCCCGCGGCATTTAAATAAAAATGTCCGCCGCTTTTTTCCGGCTTTTAGAAAAGCCGGAAAAGAGCGTCTACACTGGCCCCGATCTTCCGGAAAAAGCGCCCTTTTCCGGAGGATCTTATTCCTTTGAAGTAGGAATAAGATCCTCCGGAAAAGGGCGCTTTTTTCAGAGGATCGGGGAGTGTAGACGCTCTTTTCCGGCTTTTCTAAAAGCCGGAAAAAAGCGGCGGACATTTTTATTTAAATGCCGCGGGGGATATTTAAATCCCCCGCGCATTTCCCTACTACGATGGCTGAAATTAACATGCCCCTTCCGGAAAAGGAGCCAGTGTAGACGAGCCCGTACAGTCCAGCAAAGGGGACATGGAATCCTGAATGGTACTGACCCAAATCCCCAGGTAAGTGCAAGAATGATGAAGAAACTGAGTCCTGGAGCAAGTTAAATTTTGCATGAATCTTTCTCTCTCCCATGGTGTTTAAAATAAAGCAACTATTTTTAGAAATCTTTCTGCAAAGTCTGTTTCTATTGGTTACAACTATCACGTGTCCTAAAGAATGCCCACAATCTGAAGCTCTGGGAAAGGATGTGCTTGAATTCCTGGGATGTTTTAGGGGCTCATTACTGGTCCTGGGGCTAAGGCAGCAGGACTGTTGTTGTTGAACTTCATGAAATGGTATTAAACAGAAGTCTGTGCCCATGGGTAGCAGGTGAAGCTCCCGTTTGCGAAGGCTAGCCCCAGCTCCCCCCTTCCTCCCACCCAGAGGAGGTCTTAGCATCCCGCTCATTTGGAGGAGCCCTGGGTCTGCCGAAACCATGAACGTCCTCCTTCCCACCTACCCAGAGGCGCCCTGGGCTAGCTGCTTATGTGCTGCAGAGGAATGCAGGTTGCAAAGCAGCTGAGATAGTATTTGGTACTCAGCTTCCTGGGCTCCTCAGTAATCTTTCTGGAATCCAGGGATGTCGCTGTGGATGATCTCCAACAAGAAGTTGGAGGTTATCTGTTCCGAGGTGCTGCAGAAAAGGGGGAGACAATCTGTAAAGGGATGGGTGGCAGTTTTCAGTGTGAAATGAGGAGAGAGTTCTGTAGGCTTCTCAACCAACCCATCAAAACTGTCTTTTCAAGATGAAGGACTACAGGACTTGCCTGAGAACATGAACAACATGTAATGGAGACTTGCAGAGCTCTCTCCCTGCTGTGGCCATAGTACTTTTCTGATCTTGAAATCACAGCAAAGAGGATGGAGGGAAGCAAGCTGGGCTGTGGCCTCAAAGGAAGAGGCAGGGTAAAGGTAGAATGGGGCCATAGGGTTGAAGAACAGGGACAGGGCCATGGGCAGATCCCAATCTCTTTAAGCTGAAGAACCTGGGCTTGTTCCTCTGAGGTTCATACGATCTGTGTATACTGAGATGGAGACTGGGCTGAGTATTGAGTGGCTGAGGGATCTACTTTCTTTTGTATCCAAGTGTACAGATCCAAAGGGATCAAAAGAGTAGTTAGCCCTTGAATCTTTTAATGTGTGGAAGGAGGCACCAATCTTTTCAAATAAATAATTTTGTCCCCTCAGAGGGGAGGCCCTCCACCATCATTTGGATCTTCTTGAAGTAGCTGGAAAGATGAAGCCATGAAGCCCATCTCATTACAGTGGTAGTTGAAATAGAATGTCCTGACATGTGAGCTGCATCAAGTGCAGACTGGAGAGAAATTTTGCAACCAGCTGGCCTTCATTAACAAAGGTTTTCAATTGGCCCTCATGAGACTCATGGAATTGTTCAGTAAAAGAACAAAACTTCACATAGTTCTGATTAAAAAAAATCCAAGTAGTCCTGTAGCACCTTAGAGACAAATGATAGTTCAATTGCAGGGTGGCCAAGGAGTAGGCCTTCCTGTCAAACAGATCCAGGTGCTTCCAGCTGCAATCAAAAGTGGTGAACTTAAAGCGGTATTGGTGGCTTTGAGTGAATGGTGTCCAGAATGAGCAAACTGGGAGGTAGGTGTGAGAATAGGAATTCTTGGTAGTTTATTAGCACATAATATTTCTTGTTCACCCTCTTACATCATGGCAAGATAGATGTGGTGGTCTGCCATATCACCTTGGTGGGATCCAGTAGAGCCTCATTAATAGAGAGGATCACTCTGGAGATGGTGAAGGAATGTAGAATGTTGATTAGTGAGACTCAGACACCTCTTGTAAAGATATGTGGAGTGCCTCTCCCACCATCTGGGCCAAGTCCTAGAACAGTGTAAAATCATCTGCCATATATGGCAGAGGGGCATCATCATCTCATTTGGTGATAATAAATAGAAGTGTCATGGAAAAGACACTTCTTCCTCAACTTCAGCCTTTAGTATCTCTTTTGCCTGTTCAGGGAATTCAGAGGCCCTAGAGGCAGTGGTTGAAGGAAAGCACTTTGCTAGTGTGACCTACTGCCAGCCAACAGTGATGGAGGCTTGTTGCTCTTGAGCTAGGGTCCCAGCACCACCACCCAATGGGAAAGGGCCTAGTGCCTTGTACCATGATTGCCCAAAGCAGGGAGGCTGTAGGTCAGAGGGTGGTATGCCCTGTGTCTACAACGAAACTGGATTCCGTATGGAAGATGAGAAGTAAATTGGTAAGCTAGCTCATGATCTGATTCAGATGAAAAGGGTGATGTGCAGCATGCTGTCAGTGAGACAAGGGCTCTTAAGTTACCTTTCTGTTGGTGCATTGATACTAAACAGAGAAGAATCCAGTGCACTGGACACCAGAAGATCCATTATGTACCAAAAATCTGTCAGTGCAGAGAGCATTGGTACAGGTGGAAGCTGTTAGTGACAAGAGGCTTACATTGTCAGGGCCCACTGATATCTGGCTTATCAGCAGTACCAATGTTGATGATCATACTGATGCCTTGTTACTTACTTCAGTATCATTTGTGCCCATGGTACTAGATTTAGGTGGCTTTGGTGCCATTAGTGCCAATGAGACTGACCAAGCTGGGAATTGTTTTTGGCTTGATTGGGGCTCATGGTCCTTTTCATGGCCATGTCTTCACTAAATGGAAGATAGACGTTAAGATTCAATACATTGAACTCACAGGACACACATGTCAGCATCCTGTACTCCTGCTTCTGTGAGAAGTAAGGGAACACGTCAGCCTCCCACTGTGGGGATGGCGGGGGAAACGTGAAACAAGGTTCAGCAACTCCAGCTATGTAATTAACATAGCTGGAGGTGCATATCTTGATTTGAATTTCCTTTTTAGTACAGACCTGGGCTTAGAGGCCGTACATGAGTGGCTTCTGGATGTCTCTCTGAGGTCAGCTACCTTTGAAGCAGAAGGTTATGGTGAAGGCTCCTGCATACACTCTGAAGGCTGAAGGGCTAACTCCATGAGTAGGAGTTTGAACCTCAGATCTCTTTTCTTCATAGATCTGGGCTTCAGTTGCTGATATAAGCCACACTTCTGTGGAACGTTTCTCTCTCCCAGATAGATGCACTGGGAGTGTTCATCGGTCAGTGAAATATTCCTTGCTCTGAGGCTCTTTTTGAAGCCTTGAGAGCTGGGAAGAGGGTGCCCAGACCACAGGCTGGAGGAGCATTTAATGGAAAACAGGTCTTTTCTTCTCCCCTTTTTTTAGGCAACAACCAACACAAAATGTAAACAAGCAACCAAGGAAAAAAGAAGCTTCAAAAGAAGCTAAAATTAGCAATTCTAAGATAATTAGTGATCTGTAAAAGGAGAGCTCTAGCACCGTCTCCAGTCAGGGGCAGTTGAGAAGGAACTGAGAAGGGATGGCACATGCATGCTAGTAGCCTTGTGGGAGGCAGGAAACAGCATATGCATGGGCCAGATGGTGTACTATATAAATTCTCAGATTAGGAATGCAGGACACAGATACATCTACAGTGGAACACTTACAGGGACAATACAGATTATATGTTTTCAAGAGAAATATTCTCCATGTTAAGTACATAGAAACTTCATGTAACTGAAATAAAGTACAGGTTGAAACTCCCTAATTTGGGTTTCCCTGGTCCGGCAACATCTGTGTGAGAACTCACAGGGATAAGCCATTGGGCTGGGGCTTGGAGTGCTGCCAAATTAGGGGGCCAAGACGGAGCACCGAGGGCAGCAGAGTCACTGGGAAGAATGCAGAACCCCCAGTCTCGGGGGTGGGGGCAGTGGGGAGCTGAGCTCTCTGTCACTAGGGGGAGGGCAGCAGCATGGTTGCCGGAAGGGAGTGTGGAGCCCCTGGGCCATAGCTGGGGAGGGGAGCATAGAGCCCCCTGATTGGCAGCAGAGCCGTTTGGTGGAGCGTGAAGCTCCCCGGGCAGCAGCAGGGCTGCTTGATGGAGATTGCTGGGCAGTAGCAAAGCTGCTCAGTGCAGTGCGAAGAGTAGAGCTCCAGGATGCAGTGTGAGGAGAGGGGAGACCCAGGCTGCAGCAAATGAGGGGGGGAAGAAGAGGGGAGAACAGAGCCTCCCCTTTCCCCTGTGCTGTGGAGAGAGCAGAGCACTGGTAGCAGTGGAGCTGCCTGGAGAAAAGTAGAGCCCCTGCCGCCTTGACCTCCCCTGGTCTGGCAAATTCCCTTGTTCGGGACCACTCAGGTCTCTAGGGTACAGGAGGAGAAAGGTACAACCTGCAGATGAATAAGTCAGATGCTTAATGGCAGTATTTTGAGCTTTGTTTCTAAAGCCTGATTTGTAAAATTTGTATTCCACCTCCTACAGAAATGTACTGATAGAACATTAATATTTTTAAGTATGATAACTGTCACAGCTTGTTAATGATTGCTCCCTACAAAAGGAGTCAACATAAATGCTCAGACAGAAATCATTCATTTTTTTTGCTATAAAATAACTCCCAAAATCTCATGTCAGTCCCAACAATACTAAAAGTTTGAACTAGAATATTTTATTCACAAACATCATAAAGGTGGATCATTTTAGCTTGGTACAAAACACACTTGTGATAAGCTTACCTACCTGAGGATAGAGGGAAAGTGGGCTCAATCGACAATTTAAGGAGTCAATTTGTATCCTCAGCCTTCACAAGTAGAGGATACAGGGCCAAGTTGTTCCACGACTAGGGAGGCCTGCTTCTTAAGGGCCAAGAGTCTTGGGATGAACCAGAGCTGTTCAATCAGCTTCCTGTTCCCCTTTGTTTTAACTAGCTGCCTCCCAGAGTAAGGTGGCTGAACTAAATGAGGTTATCTGACAGACTGATCAATACCAGGGCCACATAAAAGGGTAGAGAACTCATTATAAAGGAAGAACTACAGGAAACAAGCTGGACTCCAAGGAATCACAGAGCATAGAAGATGGAAAGGAAGCTCAGAGGAGCTGAAATTATGAGAGGGAGTCACAGGAAACAGCCTGTGCACGGGATGAGGAAGGGCAGGCAGCTTTTGTTCCCAGCCTTCCCTTGCCCTGGCTGGAGCACAGGGCAGAGGGAGGGCAGGTGGCTCACATTCCCAGCCTTTCCTGGGCATGAGGAGGGTGGGCTCCCAATCCTGGAGGGTGTGTGGCTGGTGGCCCCTTTGGCCCCAGAGCACAGGCCGCGTCCAACCCCAGGAGAGCTGGTGGAAAGCCGAGACAGTCCTAGGAGACGGGCTGAAAAGGGGCAAGGGCTGGGGGTGGAGTGAAGACAGGGCTGGGCTGGCAGTCTGGGAAGGCCTTCCCCTGCCTCTTATATCAGCAGCCCATGCTTGAGACTTATTACACTGAAAGAGGACTGAACTTAAGAGATTTAAGCCATAGGGCTGGGCCACATGAATTCTTGGAAGAGGCAGAAAACTCTACTAAATAGAAACTGAAATCACAGTGTGTTTGCAGCGACATGCTCAACTATCGGGGGGCTACTACTAGATGGAACTGTCTGTAGGTATCATTTCCCTTTCCTTGGTTAGAGAAATTGTAGAGTGGATTCATGTAGCTTCCATTAACAATTTTCTATATATCACTTCTCATAAAGCAGAGGTGGGCAATAATGTTTGGCGGGGGACCACTCCAAGATTTTGGTAAGTGGTCAAGGGCTGCCCTTTTCTGTGGAAGGAGTGTGGGGTCTAGGATGGAGGCTGGGTACAGAAGGGTGCATGTGGTAAGAGACTGGGATGCAGGAGATGGTGTGGGGTATGAGAGGGTATTTGGGTGGAGGAGGGGGTTGTGACCTGGGGCAGGGTATTGGGGGGCAGGGTCTGGGAGGGTGCAGGAGAGGATTCTGGCTTGGGGGTGGGGTGTAAAAGGGGGTACAGGGTCTGGGAGGGAGTTGTGACCTGGGGAAGAAGGGTACAGAGGGTTTGGATGGTGACCTGGGGAAGGGAGTTGGGATGCAGGAAGGGCAGGGGTGCCAGAGGCAGACTAACTGGGAGATGCTTACCAAAGCACTGCTGGACCTGCAGCATCCCCAAGGAAGGCTGGCCTCACTGCCTGCTGCAGCCCCAGACTGCTCAAAAATACAGGCTGTTCCCTCCACTCGGCTCTCAACTCTGGGTGGGGGAAAAGGGTTGTGCTGCCCCCGCCTCCCAGGCCAATCTCTAAGCACTGATTGGCTGGCTGTTTCCAGCCAATAAGAGCTGAGAGACTGACTCAGGTCAGTTTTTATTGGCTGGTTATTTCTGGCCAATAGAAGCTGAGGATAGGGTTGGGGCAGGGAGATCACAGGACGCTTTCCCCCTTCCTGCAGAGCAAAGAAACATATGGACTGCACTTTAAAACGGGGCACCTGTGTGCCTGAAGTTCCTGGCAGTGTGGTCTGCTGGCTGGATTGGGCCCTTGGACCATATTTTGCCCAGCCCTGTCATAAAGCGAAGTTACTGAAAAGCAAACTGCTGTCATTCACTGCACTCTTTCTCTCTCTCCTTGGTGTGCAGTGGGCCAAGGATCTATGTTGTGCATTAACATAGAAAGGAAAAGAGAAATATACTTACCAACAAAAATTTATTCCAAAGATCTAAAAATTTAAACCTTCCCGATAAGACTAAATTCCAATATGCAATAGCCATTTCTAAATCTGCAAGAAACAAAACAAACACCACATATTACAATGCTTTATACACAGTAAAAACAGGATTAAAAAGCTCTCGCAATTCAGCTCTCATTTTATTTTATCCATAAATCTCACTATACAAGTTCACTGGCAAGTTTTTAAACCCCTTTTTATGATGAAGGATCTCAATCCCTACGCCCTAATTTATCAAAAGCACCTAGTGTCTTTGGGTGCCTCACTTTTGAAGTACTCAACTTGAGACACTTTAATATACACTCAACTTTGAAGGTATTCGGGTACCTCAAAAGTGATGTTCCTAAAATAAATGAACTTTGCTGAAAAACTGGATTGTGGACCTTAATAGGTTGTTGCTTATGTGAATCATGGCAATAAAGAACAATTGATATTGGAAGTTCAGAATTTATCAAAGTAACTAAATAAGTAGGTGTTAAATGAGTGACTGTCCTTTGCTTAGTTCAACTGCAGAGGAACTTATTCAAATGGAATTTGAAGAAGAGATTTTTAGATCTCAAAGCAGTTCTGCTTATTAAGAGAAATTCCTTTAATTCTTAGTAGTAGTAGTGCCTTCTTCTCAAATCTCTACATGAGAGAGATTAGTTTTAACCATGAATTACAGTGTAATTGTCCAGGAGTCCTAGTCTATAAAAAATATTCAGAAGTTTTGGCTGAAAATGTAGGTTTATGATGGAAGTATCACCTAACCGATGCATCCCTACTCTACAGGAGAATTAATCATATCGCTTATGTAGATATGTGACCTTATTTTGTTCTATAACAACATTATTCAAGACCAGGATTTAAAAACTCAGAACTTAGTCCACACCTTCCAGCAAAAGCAATTTGTAATGAGGCGCATACATGTGGAACAATGAAGGCAATATAAAGGGATGGAGGGAAAAGAATGCCTTCTTGAAGGCCTATATTAATTCAGACACTTAGCTTCTAATACTTAATTATGAAAGGGGGAGGTAATGGATTGAGCCCTTGCAAGGGCTGATACCCTAAAACATTTGATGGACAGAACTAAATCAAGAAATCTAAGAAGAGAGGACTTTTTGTGCTCTTAATGTAGCCATGCGTGCCCATACAATAAACAGTGACTTCCAGGCTTTTTAAAGGGCTAGTTAACTGTGCCCTTGGATGTCTGAAGTACTAAGATACAGCTCACAAAGCAAGAGTCAACAGTTGGAGAAACTGCAAGTATTCTCTAATAGTGTTAACCTCTACAGTCAAATATGTATCCAATAATTTTAGTTTATTGTTCAGTTACCGTTGGTTATGACCAAACCCTGACTTTGATTTAAGATACGATAAGAGGAAGCTGCATATCAAATTTGGTGGTCTCATCTCTTACCATTTAGAAGGAATTCTTAAACAACTGGACTCAGACAGACAGAAATGTTTCCTCTAAGCTGCCTGGGGCAGCACAGCTTCACATATGATTAATCAGCCCCTCCCAGTCAGAGGCTCAGGGCTCCATGGAGTTGACTGACTGGGTGGGGCTGATCAATCACTTGTGCAGCTATGCTGCTGCATCTACTTAGAGGGAACACTGATGGACACAGACTCTCAAACTCTCTAAAATACAGGCAGTCCCCGGGTTACATGGATCTGACTTACATCGGATCCCTACTTACAAACGGGGTGAGGCAACCCCACACTAGCTGCTTCCCCCCAGCAGACCAGGGAGACGCGAAGCTAGCGTCCCCCCCCGCAGACCAGGGAGACGCGGAACGGCTTTTCTCAGTAGACGCCTCAGCTTGAGAATAAAGGATTGAGGGAAGTGAGGTGTGGGAGAATAAAACTGAGCTCTGGAGAAATGTTTGGCTAGAGTTTCCCCTACAATATGTACCAGTTCCGACTTACATACAAATTCAACTTAAGAACAAACCTACAGTCCCTATCTTGTACGTAACCCGGGGACTGCCTGTATATAGCACATAATAATATCCTGAATAAACTATGAGATTAAAGAAATATAAAATTGATCAGTAGTTGGAAGGGATAATTATGTATCAAGTATCTGAGTAAGCAGGGCTGCAACACAAGGCCTATAGTCTGAGGCCTGCAAGATTTTAATTTAGCTGTTTTAGACCTTGGAGATTAGAAACACGCAAAATACATAAGTGACCAAAGAATTAACCCCATGACACAGGATTACAAGAAAAGATGTATCAATGGGTGATGCTGTGAAAAATTAACAGTAAATTTTATCTTATAAGATGGCCAGTAGTTACATTTTCCTAATGAATGCTCTAACTACATCTTTCCTGAAACGTGGTGTCCAGAAATGCCCTCAATACTCCAGCTGAGCACTTATCAGCATGGATTAGAATGGAAAAGTTACTTCTCATGTCTTGCTTACAATACTCTTACTAATACACCCAGATTTTTTTTTTTTTGAGTGCAACACTATTGACTCATATTTAGCTTGTGAGCCACTCTGACCTCTATAAATACACAAACACATTAAAAATATATTTCTTTAGTGCTGCCTCTTTCTTCCTGGTCAAACAGGGGCTGGAAGTGCTACCAAATCAACATAATCAACATGGGGAGAGAAAAAGAGCACACTATACTGCTCTGTAGTGATACCTTATGGTTTACCCAGGAGCAATACAAGTGGGCTCTCCACAAATCTATATGCCCAAACCATTCTTGACTATACTGACAACGTAATAAGAGACCTACATGTGAGAAATATACAATATATTAAAATACTAACATTTTGGGTGGCTGGTAATGGAGGAAAGGGAAGGCACAACCTTCCCAAAATTGCCTATACACCCTGGCCAATTGGGAAGGCTGCAGCTGCGGCACAGCAGCTCTCCTCCCTGGCTCCTGGGGAGGGCTGAGGTTGGGCCGGGGCTGCAATACAGGAGTCACAGCCCTCCAGGTAGCCAGGAAGAATTGGGCTGAGGCCTGTCCCGGGCAGAAGGAGAGGGATTGGGGCTTGCCTTCCTCAGCGGGGCCTTTGCCCACTGCTCATGGCTAACATACTGTGCTTTTCATCCATAGATCACAGTGTACTTTGCTAAGGTGGACAAGCCCTCTCTGACTGAACCCCCACTACAGTCAGTGAAAAAGCTCCACTGATTTTGGTTTGTATTCTCCCTTACTGAAGTGGAAAACAAGATGTGAATTGTCTAAGGTCGTTTATGGATACGGGGAATGAAAGACTTGGACAAAGCACATTCAGTTAAAAAAGCATAGTGACAAGAAGTTGATTGCAGAGTAAACTTCCTCTTCTTCCTCCTAAAAGCAAGATTTAAGGTTAATATGATCTACAGGAGGAGAGCTTTGGGACTGGAGGAGGCATTAGCCATGAGGCAAAGTCCCACTTGTCTTGAATCACTTAACAAAAGTGCTCTTTATGTAGCACAGTTCACTGTTATAGCAGTTTCCTTTTCAGAGAATACTAAAATACAATTGCAACTTAACATTAGTAATTTAAAACTAAAAGAGGAAGTAAAGGCAGTAGCACTGACATAAACCAAACCCTGACAGGTAAGCATTCTTCGAAAATCTTTAAATCATTGAGAAAAATATTTAAGTCTTAATACTTCTTGCTGGCAAGCTAATTAAGCTCCTAACACCATAAATGGTACATTCTTCTCCATCTTTATTTTACAGCTGTAAAACAACTAAACCACTGTTTCTGCTTTATCTTTCAAAATTAATTGGTTAACTTGGTAATTGCATTTTCCCCTCTTCTATTGCAGCTTAATCTTCTTACTGATTCTGTAAAGCTTTGCTACTTTACATAAGCCAGTCACTATTATGAAGACATTTTATTTGTTGAGCTGATTGTAACAAACTACAGTGCTCACAGTAAAAAACTAATACTGTTTATGCATGAATTACTTTCCAAGACCTCTTCTATATTAATAGGAAATGGTCATATAATTCAAAGGGGATGTACAACCTTAAGTATAATTGGTGCTACCTACTCTGTCTATAAGTAGACATAAAAAGAATGTTAAAAGAACATTATGGTTGTATCATAATGGTTCTTACCTCACAATGGTTGAGGTAAGAAATGCCAGAATTAAGACAGAATTATCATACACAGATGGACACAGTATGTTGGGGGAAGAGTCAACATGGCTTTTGTAAAGGGAAATCATGCCCCCCTGATGTATAAGAATTTTTTGGGGGTGGAGAGTCAACAAAGATCTAGACAAGGTGATGCAATGGATATAGTGTACTTTCAGAAAGCTTTTCACAAGATCCCTCATTAAAAGCTCTTAAGCAAAGGAAGCAGTCATGGAAAAAAAGGGAAGGCCCTCACACAGATCAGTAACTGGTTAAAAGACAGGAAACAAAGGGAAGGAATAAATAGCCTGTTGTCACAAAGGAGTTATGGAAGAAAGGGTGAAACAGTGAGGTGGCAATGTTTGCAAACAATGTTAAATTACTCAAGATAAGTCTAAATGAACTGTGAAACTTAGGGATTTACAACGGGATTCCACTGATTCACTGGGCAACAAAATGGCAGATGAAATTCAGTGTGCACATAAAAAACCCCGATGGGGTCTAAATCAGCGTTTATACTCAAAGATCTTAGAGTCATTGTGGATAGTTTTCTAAAAGCCATCTGCTAAAAATGCAGTGGCAGCCGAAAAAGCTAACAATGTTAGGAACAACTAGGAAAGGTATAGATAAAAAAGACAGAAAATATCATATAATACCACTAAGTAAATCCATAGTACATCCAACAACTTGAATACTGGGTGCAGCTCTGGTAACCCCATCTCAAAAAGATATAGAGAATGGGAAATAGTACAAAGGACACCAACAAAAATTATTACAGACATCTATCTTTTGATCAAGGATGCCTTTGAAACACAAACCTGTATGTTCTTCTCACATACAAAGTTCTTCTGCTCATAACTTGTAAAGTGTCAGAGTGAAGAAAAAACATCCCTTTGAACCAAGTGAATAGGTGAAGAGATTTCAGCAGAGCAACGAAGACTGATGTGACTACTGTTTCCTGGTAGGAA